GGTCATACATATTCGTATTCTTGATTAAATCAATATTGGAAACTAGTATTATATTGTTCATATTGGATCTTACAGTTGATATTAATGAAAGAAAATGAATCATTATCTCTGAGTTTTCAATTATACTTACCTACCATAAATTAACATTTGAAATTGACTTGAGACGACGGTTCATATTCTTAAGAGTTAGGTGTCCTTTGTCGCCATATATATAGTTTAGATTTCAAATTCGGGTACAGTCCTAAGTTGTACTTTACTTTAGTAAGCACCATAATTTGTCTCAAATTTTACATAACAATCATGTGCATCAATAATTAAAATAGGGTAGGTACTGTATCGACTATCGATCTTTCTGTCGAAAGAGGTTACTGGCCAACCTAAAAAAGCAAAGGAGTTGCTTTACAACCCACTATAAATAATAATAGTAGTAAATAAAAAAGATAATATTAAGTAATTAGAAAAAAGGATAGAAAATTATTTATAAAATGTCAAACCATACGATTACATGAGGGGAAATCACATTGGTCTATTTTGTTAATTGGAGCATTATTTGTCTTCGGGGATGGCCCACCCCTACATAAGGGATGTCATCGGAAACTTAGATCGTTTAATGAGATTAAATTTGGTTTTAATAAGTATATGTATACGAGTATGACACTTTTTAACAAAAGTTAAAATTTTAATCTAATAGTTAAAATATTCGTAGAATTTCTTGAGATTGTGTGTTCTCCACGCGTACATAAATGAACTTCCAGGTTAATCTCATAATTTTATCTGTTTTACATGAGAATTAACTCTAATTAGCAATTTTTCTTTTCCAACTCCAGGTTCATAACAACAATAATATAGGGACTGGATCAAGCATCTTGGACCGTGCAAAATGCGTATGAAGATATCAGTCAACTAATTAATGTAGTTTGTTTTTTCTTTTATCAAACTAAGCAAATTAAAAATTCTGGTCCGTCTTTACCTTTACTTGTATATTAATTCCAATCCCCCAGTTGTCGACAATCAAATTTAAGAGGGATTATTTCTTTCGTTCGGTATTATTTGTCATATTATATTTTTTGAAAGTTAATTTGATATAATTTTTAAAATTAAATTAAATCATATTAATATTATATTTTAAACAAAAAAATTAGATATTCTAGAACTATATGAAAAGTACTATAAATTGCAATTTTTTGCACATCAATATGATAGAAAAATATATCTTAAAATGTTAATCAAATTTTTTATAATTTAATTCTAAAAGTAGAAATTATGACAAGTAATATTGGACGGAGAGAGTATTATTTATTATTATCACATTTAAAAGCTCGTAACATTATTTTATTTTACTTCTTCTATGTCAAAAATTTCCCGAATACCGGAGAAAAGAAAAAGCACTTCAAAAATTTAAGCAAAGGCAGAAGCTTCCCTTCTCAAATCTCTATAGAATCGAGAAATAAATTCATCAGCCTTTTCGTCTATGTGGCTGATGTTATCAGCATCTGATGTTAGAGGAAAAGGCGAATCAGTGATTCTTAATTGCCTGACCGTTGGAGTCCTTCCAAATCCAGGCAAAGCAGGTGATGCTGTTTCGCTCTGAAGCATTTCTAATGCCTTCAGAACGGCAGCGTTCATCATTGAAACATCGTCAGGTACTGCATTGTGATTGTGCTTATTAATGCGCTTGTTCATGTTGAAGGGTAGGTGAAAAGCAGGGCTGTTACTGCAGCTGAACTCGTAATACTCTTTTGAAATTGATTGATGAATATTATTACTATGGCCCTGGAACATCAGATTTTGGAAGACGGCTTTTCCAGCAATCTTACCACGTTTCATTAATAAGTTGAGATCAAACATTAGTTTTCTCTTTGATGATAATCCTTTTCTCAACATGAAGTAAGCCACGCGAACTATCTTCCAGAATTTTTTCGCTATAATTGGCAAATTTTGATCCATTTTCTTGTTTAAGTATCACGTGTAGATATCTCTTTATTTTATATTTTTGAATTATGAGTTGTTGTTGGTTCTGGATAGACAAATATTTATGAAAGAAAGAGGTTTAATTTAGAGGAGGTGTAGTTTGTAGTTGGTAGAGAATTGTGGTTTTATGAGAAGCAAAGAAGTGGTGGTATATATATAGGGGGATTTATATATTAATTACATATAAAGGAAGAGGATGTAGTGAAGCAATCTATATGTTGAAGTTTTTATGTTTAGCCAATATTCTAATAGTCCAATTATTAGTGGTGATTTTCAACATCTAGCTTTAGGACTGTCTTTTAAGTCATTTTCACCCATCAAAGAAATTTCGTAGTAATCTTTTTCCCTCTCCTTTCACGTGGATTACAAATTTGAGGCTAATGGGATTAGGGGTATTGTCAAACATATGGAGATTACTGTTGAATTATTACAACTTAAAATAAGTTGAATCAATAAGTAAGTTAGTTAATCTAAATGAATGACTAAACAATGGATTATGATTCAACTTGCTTAAATAATCTTATCAAGTTTGAAGAAAAAAAATGAACTGGACAAAACATGACTGGAAAATTAAACGCCCACCGTGGGGCTCGAACCCACGACCACAAGGTTAAGAGCCTTGCGCTCTACCAACTGAGCTAGACGGGCTTATTAATATATTTTAGCAACTAACCTTTATAAAACTAAATATTATGTGACATTTCAATAGATCTTGACTTGTTAGAGGATTAGTATAACTAAATGGAACTTAATAATTCTTTTGTACCAAGCACAATATATATCTGTATCATTTATCAAAGTCCAATATATTACCTTTAGGCATATTGTATACTCTCAAAGGCATGACAATTGAAATGTTATAATCAATAAATATTGCAACTGATTAATTAATTAGTCTACAAATTCTCGATCATGTATCCTCGTTAGAAATTTTTTTGTAATTTTTTTTTTTTTTTTGCATAAAATGATAGAAACTTTCCCTGGTAGGGGAAGATGAGATTCTAAAGAAGTGTGCTTATACATAATTTCCGAATTATTTATGATTATTTCTGCACGTAAATAAAGTTGTAAATTTGTGGCCTGTAAAGTTTTTTGTATGAAAAATTAGGTTTTCGTAAACAAATTGTATGACTTTTACAAACACAAAGTTACAACTCCAAAAGCAAAAGCGACTCTCCCTTGAAACAATAGAAAATTGATTACCGTCCTAATTTTTATTGTTCATTATTTTATAAATAAACTTTTACTTTTGTTTCACTTTTAATATACTAAGAAATTTTCTTTTCTTATATAAACTATTAATTGTAAAGATATTTTGGAACTAAACCATAAATGAAAGACATTTTTATTTTTTCACATAGTTTAAACTTTAAAGGCTTTTTGTTTGACTATTTTTCCTTGATTATTAATTTCCTAAATCATTTTACAAGACCTAATATGAAACATTAATTAATATGAATATAACACACATATCAATTATTATTTGTTAAAAAGATGTATAACATTCAAAATGGATAAACAAAAATAAATGAAAAAATATATTTATATTTATTTTGGTGTGTGTGTGGGAGGGGGGGGGGGGTGTTTAGAGAGTAGTGCTCAAATTATTGAATTCCACTGATGAAATCTCTCTTTCGTATTTCCTTTTCCTTTAAATTATGTATTTTTAATTATATACTAGAAAAATATTGGATCCTCTTTGATACTTTTGACTTCCAAAAGTTAAGGCACTCAGGTAGTGTGAGGCCTCCTTCCGTATTGCAAATAATTTAAGGAAAAGAAAACAGTACAGAGACTATATAATAAACTATAACTTAATATACCATTCAGTTTTCGAAACGTGGCACAATCTTAAAGAAAAACAACAAGTAGATTGTTTTGTTTTATAGAATTATTTATTCAACTAGTAGATAAAGTGCTTGAATTTAACAATATTTTTTCTATGCACCCTTACCTTTAGTTAAAGGGACTTCACTTGTATATCCAGAAAATTGTTTTGTACCCACTCACGAAGTTTTTGTTCTTTATCACTTTTTTTTTAATTTCTTCTTTTATTAGTGTATGTTCTTTTTGCAATTAGTAATGAGCCTTTTAATGTGCATGATTCGAATTTAGTCGAAGCTTGAATGCATGCTTCAAACGTCAGATGAAAAACTAAAAAGAAAAGAATTATTAGAAATGAGAATGAACGTCAACACAATAGAGTGGGTATTATCAAAAACCAAAAATGACCCTTTAGAGGCTTGCGAAGTACGAAGGGAACTTAAAAGGGCCATATCTTTTAACAGAGCACATTCAAGTGCTGGCCCAGTATCAGATGCCCAACCCAAACACACATCACAACACTAACTTTTTCTTACACAAATATTTTTATCGTATTTACTATTTTTTCATACAGTTTGATATAATTACATTGTATCTAACTATTTAATAATTTTATACTAAATTTCAAGTTAGATACATGAGAAGCACTCTAGATACACACTATATACATGTATCAGTGATTCGTATACGTTTAAAATACCATATATCGATATACGTTAGCGAGATATGAGAGTGGCAAGCGATCGAGATGGAAGGGAGACAAGCTAAATTTGTCTATATATCTCATATACATGTGAATCTACTGGGATTTAGTGTATTTAGAACAAATTACATCTAATTTTGATTCTAGATCTATCAAGATACTTGTACCTAAACGTATTTGAACGCATCAAAATACGATATTATTCGTAATATTGCAAACTGATATGTATCTAAGTAATTAGTTCCTTAACTAGTGAAATTTCTGTAAGTTACCTTTGTTCCATGGGCAAACCTAAAGGTAACCCAACAATACATTTTTAACATTTACATAATTTTATATCTCATTATAATACTTTTTTAACGTTTATATAATATTATTTCTCATTATAGATTGTTACAAAACCATATGCGTATACAACGATAAATGCGGATTGTTGTTTTGTATTTGTAGACCATGTTGTTTTTTCCTGGATCTTTTGGATCCACCTTATCCGTCGTTTTTCTGTTTCTGAATTTTTTCATTATTTTTAGCATGGCAAACACTTGATAATATATTGAAGAATTAGAGCAACATCATTTACCAGAAGTATTTCTTCTTATTGAAAGCAAATTGTCACAAAGTAAACAATTGAGCACACATTCATAATAGTGATAAAGGTCTACAAATATTTTACATCCTTTTTCAAATTTCACCAACAATGTTTTTGTGTTAAAACTGAATTGAAGGAATGAAATCACTTAGGGATAAAAGCACGAGTAATTAATGAATATCCTTAACCAAGGCAAAATAATTTCAATTTGCATGTCTAATCATTTAACGCCAAAATTTCTACAGCAGTAACAAATTGAGTAGGTCGCTTAGTACAGCTCGATCTATTGCCACTGTATTATTGATAAAACGGGAAAGGGTCAAAAATATTCTTAAACTATAAGAAATAGCTTAAATATATCCTTGAAGTATATTTCGGTTCAAATATATCCTTATCGTTAAATTATAGGGTCAAAAATACTCTTTTCATTAACAAAATCGGTTAAACGCCACTAAGATGCCATGTGGATGTCACATGGCATGCCACATAAGCCAATAAAGTTTCATTCATGCCACGTAGACTAATAAACTTACTCCTAATTTTCCTCAATTTTCTCCATTTTCTATAGAATTTAGAAACGATTTCACTGAAAAATATAAAACCCCTTTTCCTCATTTCTCCATGTTCTTAGAATGATTTCACAAAATACATAAGTTCTAAGAGAAAGGGGTTCTATGTTCTTCAGTGAAATCATTTCTAAATTCTAAAGGAAATACAAAAAATTAGGGAAAAGTTTATTTTCTACATGTATTGGAGATAATACAGAATTAAAGGAATAATTATATATGTTGATTAGTTAGTTAGTTAGGAGTTAGTTAATTTGTTAATGAGTTAGTTGGGTTAGTTAGGAGTTAGTCAATACATTCCACATGTATATATAGTACCATACTTCATCTTTGTAAGTCAGTTTTTCATATATACAAATCAGAAATTTCCCAAACTGATTTCTCTCTTCTACTCTGTTCATATTTGTTCAACATGGCACGAGTGGAATTCTATTGGCTTATGTGGCAATGTCATGTGGTATTCACATGGCATCCAAGTGGCGCTTAACATATCCTGTTAATGTGAAGGATATTTTTGATCCTATAGTTTGAGGGGAAGGGTATATTTAAGCCGAAATATAGTTCAAGGATATATTTACGCTATTTCAAATAATTTAAGGGTATTTTTTATCCTTCCCCGTTGATAAAATAATAAAGGATAGTTTGATGACTTAATTGTTATAGCAAGAAAAATTTAATAATTTACTGTCATAATAAGTAAAATTCAATTACTTTACATGACATGAAGAATTTACCAATCATAGTAGATATAATTTGGTAATTATATTTGTAATTAACCCAAATAAGTGCATCAAGGTAACTGAATTGGCAAACTTAAAGTCCAATATAACTACTCAAACCATTAGCCTATCTGCCTTCTTTCAATTTCACTCAGCAGAAACTTCAGTTTTTCTATATACACAAACATCATGAAGGGATATTGGCGTTTTATACACAAACCAGGTAATTAATGGTCTCTGTTTATTATTGTTATTTGATATTTTTTGTGAAAATAGGAAATATATTCCGTCACAAATAGTAATGGAAGGAACCTCAATTTGCTCGTGATGGAAGAGACAGATCAAATTTCCAATCTGCCAGAGCCAGTTTTGATCACATTCTGTATTTCCTTGACATCAAAGATGCTGCGAAAATGAGTACATTGTCAAAGGTTTGGAATTCTATTTGGACTTACCTTTCCTCTTTAGATTTTGGTGATAATTATTTACATAACTCCAAAAACACTGTGGTTAATTTACCAAATTATCGGTTTAAAGCTCTGGATGATTTGATTAAGGTACTTATAACCGGTAATATCAAAGAGTTGTTCATAGATGTTGGAGTATACACTCACAACAAGTTTCTCTGAAGCAATTTTTGCTGCTAAATCATTAAATGTGCTTATGTACGCGAATTTAAGCTGGAACTACCCTCTTATCGCGTTAATAATCTACGAGTGTTGTACCTCGAGGACTCATTTTTGGATGAGAAATTACTTCAAGCTATATATGCAATTTGTAGTGATTTAGAAGTTTTGTATTTGAAGAGATTTCATGGATTAACCAGTTTACAAGTTGCGGGAATGTTGCCTAAACTAAGGACAGTAAAGTTGAAATTTTGCCCCTCCTAAATTCAAGAAGGTTGATATTGTAGCACCTAATCTTAAAGACCTTTATATTAGTTCATTTAATCTGGACCAACGTGTAATCGAGATAACTGCTTGCAAGTCCTTAAAGTGTTTGAAGCTTACTGATGTGGCTGTCAATAGCGAATGGTTACAGAGCCTCCTTCCAAATCTATCAAACCTTGAAGTCATTTATTTGAATCATTGTCAGTCCTTGAACTTCGTGAAGATTTCAAATAGTTGCGTTAAGTTTCTGAAAGTAGTCGCATGCTCTCATTTAATTGCTGTTGATATGGATGATGCTCCTAACTTATTAAGATTTTCCTATGATATTCATCATGGAAGAAATGAACTACTGGCTATTTTGAACCCTAACTGAAAGCTTCGCGATTGCAGGAGGTTATTGATCAAATTAATTTTAGAAGCTCTTGACACTGAATGGTACTCCAAGCTCATAGAGTCTATTGGTAACTTTGATAAATCCAGGGCTATTACACTTAGTTGTGACTCTGATAAGGTACGTGCAGCGAATTGGCTACTTGCCCTGCCAGAAGAAATTGTTCTGGATTTCTCATTGTTCTTATTATTTGTTTTTGCAGGTGATAGTTAATACCGAAAGAAATGAGAGAAAACTTGGTTCCTCCACTAAACATATACATATAAAAATTAGGGACAGGACGAATTATTCAGTAGTGGACGTTGTTGATAGTTTACTTTGGATTTCTCCTCACCTGGACACCTTATCTGTGGACCAGGGTCGAAGCATACAGAGCTTGATCAAGGCAATATGCTTATCTTTCAAAAGCACTGGCTAAGGTTTCTTATCTCTAAAGTTTTTTTGCAATTAGTTTCTTTTGATTCATTGTTTTAGTAACATAGCATCCTTCATGATTGGTTCAGTATCTTTTGTTTAGAGTCCAATTATGAGAAGATTAACCATAACCTAGGAGATAATGGTCAAAAACACATAGATACTAGTCGAGATGTGTTTTTGATAAATAGTTGGTAATAGTTCAGATAAGAAACACAAACACCTTATAGTTGAGGTAGGAACTTGCAAAAAGTGACACTCCAGGTGTGTTTCGGACCATTATCTCCAAAACATAACGGTTTGTAAATCAACTGCTTATATGTATTCTGTCGACTAAAGAAACTTATATGAGCATATCACGTTTTATATATTATACCAACATGCGGTTCATATTTATGATCGGTTGCCTGTTTTACCTTTGTTCCTGTTGTGGTTTTCTCTGGTTTCTTAGTTTACATACAGAAATGCTGCTGATGATAAAGATCGCAAACGTAATTGGGCATCTCTAGCGTGGATATGTTGGAGTCATGGGCTGAAGAGAGTTCAATTGCAAAACTTTACACGTACGGAGCTAGAGAAGTTGAGAAACTATTTTCTAAAAATTTCAAATACTTTGAGCATAATTGAAGATCCACCAGAATGAAGCCTTTCCACTTCTCTTCAATAAATGTACTTGTGAATAAGTTTATACATTATGTGTTGTTGAGTTTAGCTAATTTTATGTTTTGAATAATTTTGTTTTGGTGATTTACTTGTGGGACATTTGTTTGCAATGACATTGATCTGATCTGTTTCTAATTTGAAGTTTCAGACATCGAGCAAATTATCCCAAAACTTTCTCAGTGTATGATTGTCCTGGTGCACAGCTTGACAAATGAACTGATACAGAACCAATTTGATTGAAAGAGCCAGGTATAACAAATTTTTCATGATTCATGAACTTTTGGTGCCCTTGTTTTTCTGTAGATCGGGAGGTGGGTGTTGTCCATTGAGGCAAGGGTCTATAGTTAACAAATAAAATTTCCGCACATACTATCTCCCTAGACCTCACTCTACGTGACTATATTAACTACTCCGTAGTTAAATGAATCTATAAGATTTGTTGTTGATTGTTTTGACAAATTTGTGATTGAATTTTTTTGAAATTGATATACAAAACTTATAACAGCAACATACAAAGTGTAATTAACAAATGGATTTGAAAAAAATAGAGTGAACATAAAGTTTAACCCTATCTCAGAGAAAAAGAGAGAGGTTTCTTTTATGATAAACACTCGACTTAAATGTAAGAAATCAAAGTAATCGTGAAAAAGGAAAAAATGACAAAGAAGAAAACATGTCAATTAACAACGAAAACGGTATAAGAGCATTAAAAAAACAATAATTACAACAGAATGGAGTGATATGATAATTGAAACATAATAAACAACCGTTGATAACAAATATCAAAAGCAAGAAATTACATGCACAAGGTTAATACTACGATATTCGTCACACAAATTAAATAAGGACCCTATACGTGGATATTTGTGCACTTTGCTCTTTACAAGGACCTTGAACAAACCCAAAACTCTTTATTAAAATATAGGTCAAATCCATCGGTGACTTTCTAAAGTTGGCACCAAATTTCATATAGACATCTCAACTATGATATGTTTATTTTAGACACCTCATGTAGGGTTCCGTTATATTCTTTCGACACTTTTCTTACAATAAGAAAAAAGTTGAAGGAGAGTGTAATATACTCGTTGATAATGTGGCAAACGATGAATTAAATGATTACATATGTTATTTTAAGTTAAAAAATATTTTAAAATCTATTTAGTAATTAAAATAAAAATATTATTCTAAAAAAAACAATTTAACCCCTCCCCACCCCCGCCTCCCATAGTAGTTGTCTTCTCTACTATACCCAACAATTTTTTTAATTTGCTCTCTAAAATTGTTTTAGATTCTATTTTTCTTTCTATTTTAGTGTTGTTTTGAGCGGAGGAGGAGGGAGGAGGCTAGGAGAGGAAAAAAGAAAAATTATAAAATATGAGCGTTTATATTCATTTTTTGACGAAAAAGGTGAAATTGAAAATCGTCTTTTTTCATACACTCTATATTTCTTTTGTGCTTTTTTCTTTTCTTTTACTATTTTTCTTTCTTTTTAGTGTTGTTTTGTGGAAAGAGAAGAAGGAGCCATCAAATATGAAATACGGGTGTTGGTATCTGTTGATCCTGCAAAAAAGGTAGAGGGATGTGATAGTAAATTTTTAAAAAAGTAATACACTGAAGAAGAAGAAGAAAAATGACTTAAAAATGGATTGATAAAAAAAAATTAACCTCCATTGAAGGAGTTTAAGCTTGAAAAAATGGTGGGAGGTGGTGACATGAAAATTAGAGAAGAAGAAAAGAAAATAAAATAAAATCATATTTTTCTAAATTGTATCAAATATATTTGTAATGTAGAGAATTATTAATTTATAAAATAAATCGGATCATATATTTATATATGGGTATTTTGAATATCTTATTATCTTATCTAAATGGGTGATTTTTTTCATTAGCTCAAGTTGGGACTAGAGAAAAATAATATCTTAGAGAGATTATTAATTTATCGAGTATCAATTTAATGAAATTTTACTATAAACAGTTTCGCGTGATTTATGAACGATATTTAGAATCCAAGTTAATTTCCAAAATTTCACTAAGTTAAGCTAATTTATACGGGTGCCATCTATGGCTGTAGGAACTCGGTATAATCATGAGTTTTTAATGATGTCTTTTGATTTGACTAATGTTTCGGCGGTGTTTATTTCAATGAAGGTATGAGAAATAGTTGAAGGCAATGAAGTAGATGGACTTCGATACATTTAGAAATTAGATAGAAGAATAAAATATTTATTTTTAATAGTACTCTATTAAATAAATAATTCATTTCATTAAGATAAAGAATAAAAAATAGGCATTTTTTTTTTTTTAAAAAAACAATGTAAGTTGTCATAATTTAAGTGAATTGCTCTATTATCTCATCACTTAAATTGTTATAATATTTTCTTTTTTAAAAAAAAATTTAAAAAATTAGTTCAAAAATCAAACAAGTAATATGATAACTTTGTGATATTTCAAAATTTGCTACTAACGGAAGTCCAAAAGTTGCCAAGTGGTGGAAAACCTACAAAATATCAAAGACGTACCTTTTCGTTTGTCGAACAAAAAAAGAAAAACAAAGTAATGTATATCCTCAATTTTCTCCTACTCCAATTCCTAATGTGAACGTGCTCTCTTTCGTGTTTCGACCCTTTATAGCCCCTAAAGGAACAAACCCTTCTTCTTCTTCAGGTTTTAGATCTACCGCGTGTTTTTTTTTCCTTAATCGGGTATTTACAAGTCAAGAAACCCCTTTTTCTTCATATTTGTTACCCTTTTATCTTTTGGGTCTACCCCAAAATTCAACTTTCGCTTCTATAAGAGTTTGAATTTCGAATTTCCGATCCGTTTGTTGGTCAATTTCTCCATATTTTCTCTTTAAAGATTGAATCTTTGGTCCTTATATCGAACTACCACAAGAAGTTTTTAAATTCTGTCCTGTTTAAGTGATGGGGGTTTCCAATTGTTCCATTACTTTGCCACCGACCCAGCAGGTTCCACTGCCTAAGGAGTATGGGGTAACGAAACCCTTGTCTCTAGCAGGACCTATGGAGGCTGATATTCAGCGTACCAAAGAGTTGGAAAAGGTTTGATCTTTAAGGTTCCTTTTTGTTTACTATGTTGATTTTTGTGCTTCAGTATACGATGATGATGACTGTGAATTCTAGTTCTTGGTCGGTGCTGGACTTTATGAAAGCGCTGAGGAGGCTGCTAAGAGAGAAGGAGTTCTCTGCCAGCTAAAGCAGGTAATTTCTCTTTTCCTTTTATGTTTTGGTGATTAAGGAGGAATTCTGGGAGATCAGAAAAAATAGTAAGTTGGTTGAGACTCAAAGAATTGAATATGAAGTAACATATGATTATGAGACAGTGGAGTTTCAATGAATCCTGAATACTAAGTGTTCTAATAGTGAAATTGAATTGGTCCAAATGGATATTGAGAATTCATATAGCTGATCTAACTATTTCGTCTCAATTTGCGGTTGTAATTGCTGATGTCTGAACATGGGATGAGTAGACTGTGAATGGTAACTGCATACAATTTGGATTGGTCAAATATTGGATGGTGGTTTAGATTTCAGCACAGAGAGAACTGATCATTGCTGTGTTTTTTTGGGAATTTCTCTTTATCTTACTGAACTTCGTGAAATAGAAAATGTTGTATCCCCATTCACCTGCATTTATTAATTGTTGACCATCCATTTGATGCTTCTTTGTTTTTCCCTGTTTGGATTTCTTAGTCTGATTCGGCACTAGATTATTACTCACTAATTTGCAGTAACATTCGATGTATTAAATGTAACTTTTTTCTAACTCAGCAGTGTAATATCTGATCACGAAATATTTTCAGTTTTATCTGCTCCAAAGTTTCCTTCTTTCCAGTTTAGTGGTGGGATTGTTTCCCTGATCTCTCAATGAACAAAATGATGTCATTGCGGATGTCCTTTCATGTTAGGCCGTTCTAGGCTAATAGTTTTTTTTTTGCCTTACTCTGTAGTATTCATAGGTTAATACCAGTGTTTTGGAGGACGAAAGGCAACAATGATCTCGTGATGCCAGTAAATACCAAAAAATTAGAATAGTTAATTGCATATATAAACAATCAAAATCTCAATAGCAATAACATGTTAGCAAATATTTCAAGTTAAAAACTGAAAATAGATAGTACATACTAAAGTCTAGAACTTGAATGAGGAAAAACAGAACAAAAGTCAAAACATCGAGAAAAAACACAGTGGTAAAAGTAACTCTGAGCTCTGAAGAAGAAGAAATGTTTATTGGTTGGACTTTGGATTCACCGGAAGAATTTGGCTGGTTCCGGAGAAGTCTTGTTGTGTCGACAGGTTGGAGCCTCTGTCGCAGTCTAAGAATGCAACTGGACATATTTGGAAAGAAACCCCTAAAATTACATTTTAACTTTTAAAACCCTGAATTGGTCGCCTCCTTTAAGAGATTGCAAAAGACTATGTTTTTCTTGCCACGGCATCGCCTTTTGAAGATCGCCTCGCCACAAAGCTAATAGGCGATGAATGGCGTGAGACGATCACCTTTCACAACACTTTTTAATACTAAGATGAAGGAAATCAAATGATATTCCTTAGTCGATGGTAAGGAATGAGGATCACGGGGTGGGTGTTGGGGGGGGACTATTTCTCTCCTTTATATTTTTTTGTTTGGGTTAGTAAAATTAAAATAGAATTTTGTTTTCAGTTTACCCCTCAATGTCTTGTGGAAAGAGTGGAAGAGTAGCCTTAGTTTTTAGCTTGTTATCTTCTTATTTCCTTTGCATTTCAAAATTTTCGTTTCTATTTTTTTCTCAACCCAGTCTAGTGACATTTTTGGATCTTTACCTTCTCAGATTGTGAAGGACTGGGTGAAAGATCTTACTCGACTGAGAGGGTACATTGATCAGATGGTTGAGGATGCAAATGCTGTCATTTTAACTTTTGGTTCTTATCGACTTGGGGTAAGCAGCTTCTTTCTGAAGTTCCCTTGGACAGTATATGTTTAATGTTTTGCTCAGATATACATAACAAGAAATTTAATTGCAGATCTAGAAATAGTCGGAAAGTTGTTTCACTGTGCCACCTAGCAAAGTCTTTGGTGTTATTATATTATATCACAAGATGTGAAATTAACTGTATGCAAGCATGAAATAGTTGGTTTTAATTGTTACAGTTTTTGGGTCAGAGTGGTACAAGTATGCCACAAAAACTAGAATAGTGTCCAAAACAAGCTTGCGTCTCTGGTCCTAAATTGATGCAACTCATGCATTATACTTGTTCTTCAGACTTCAGACTTCTGAATTTTGTATTTGTACCAATCTGATCGTTTTTCACACGATAATATTCCCTTTTGTGACTATTCTCAATTTTCAACCCAAACATAACTTCACTCAGTTGTCCTTACTGTTATTTTTCGTTAAGATAGATTCTTCTACAGGAGCTCTTTGCTCAAAAACACAGTTGGCGCCTGTCATTGGGAGGAGTTCTTTTTTTGGGTGGATGGGTGAATTGGGTGGGTCTGCAGTGCTCTATGCTGTTTGTTTTCTTGAAGCTGCACCTGCTCCCTTAACACATGTAATTACAATTATGTACTATTAAGCTTTACAGTTTGCGGGGAATGACCGATTGTTTGATGTCCCTGAGCAACTCTATTTGACTAATTAAATATGATTTCTTTTTGTAGGTGCATGGTCCTGGAGCTGACATAGATACCTTATGTGTTGGACCATGTTATGTGAACCGAGAGGTCCTTTTGGTTTCTGGTTTTCTTTTCAAGTTTAAGTTGGCCATTTTATATTGCATCTAATATCAACCTTGTTTGCCAGAATGACTTCTTTTTTGTATTGCATAATATTTTGGTGGAGAGGGAAGAAGTTACTGAACTACAACCAGTCCCAGATGCACATGTCCCTGTTATGAAGTTTAAGTTTGATGGGATCTCAATTGATCTTCTTTATGCAAGCATTTCTCTTTTGGTTGTGCCAGATGTAAGTGTTACATCTTTGTGAAAGCTGCCATTTCCTTTTGGCCTCCTCCTTATAACGGACACCTTTTCTATAGATCAAACTTCGCTTCAGAGGAAATCTATTTTCCCACACCAACATTTTGTTCTGGAAAAAGGCCCTTATTTTTCTTAGACTTCTGCTTGTACTCCGGATGCTAATTCCTTTTCACCTGCAGCAATGTGAATTTCAGCTTAATCCTTTCTGGATCCAGGGCTTTTACATTGTTGAATTTCTTCATTTGTTATATTCATGGTATACCTGACCATTCCTGGAGCTTACCAAGTCATGGGATCCAGACAGGACTGGAATACGTGAATGCTCTATTTTCTCTGAATGGAACTGACATTCAATTTATGGCATCAATCAGCTGCTTAGACCACTAATAATAGTATGCCTGATGTTTCCTTTTACATCTTCTTGTGACAGGACTTGGACATATCCAGTGAATCCGTGTTGTTCAATGTTGATGAGCCAACTGTAAGGAGCCTTAATGGCTGCAGGGTGGCAGATAAAATTCTTAAAGATGTTCCAAATATTGAGGTGATGGTCCCCAACCAAAAAGGAAACAGAGGCCAGTAAATTTTTCGATATTCTAGTTCTTGCTAGTAATAACCCATTTGTCTTCTTCAATGCAGTTTTTCCGGATCACACTTCGATGTTTAAAGTTTTGGGCTAAACAGCGTGGTGTTTATTCAAATGTAGGTTCACTTTTTTTTGTACTCCCTCCTCTCCGGCTTAATTAATGTTTGCTATTTTCTATGACTTGTTCGTCTTGGATTCTTTTTTAGGTGACTGGATTTCTTGGTGGAGTTAACTGGGCTCTTCTAGTTGCTCGGGTTTGCCAACTTTATCCAAATGCTGTTCCGAGTATGCTGGTTTCTCGTTTTTTCCGCGTATATACACAATGGCGCTGGCCAAATCCTGTGATGCTTTGTCAGATAGAGGATAAAGAATTTGGATTTTCTATCTGGGATCCACGAAAAAACCCTTGGGACCGGACACATCAGATGCCAATTATTACACCTGCCTATCCTTACATGAACTCTAGCTACAATGTCTCTTCAAGTACTCTTCGTGTTATGACAGAACAATTTGAATTTGGTAACAACATATGTCAGGTATGAATTATTCCCCTCTGTACATTATGTTGTGTAATTAGCTAATACTGGCTTTTACTCCTTTTTGCTTTTCCATATCAGGAAATTGACCTCAATAAAGCCCGGTGGACTGCATTGTTTGAGCAGTATCCTTTCTTCGAAAGCTACAAGAACTATTTGCAAGTTGACATAGTTGCAGCTGATGCTGATGACTTACTTGTATGGAGAGGCTGGGTCGAATCCCGGTTAAGGCAACTTACTTTGATGGTAACATCTACACTTTTTGAAATAAGTGATACTCGAGAGGCTCTGGTTCCTTTGTGTTTGAGCCTCTACAGAAGAAAAAAGAGAAGGTAGCAAGTGAAGCAGATGTTTACCATTTACTTATAATTCTTGTTGTATCCTTGCAGATAGAACGGGACACATTTGGGAAATTGCAGTGCCATCCTTGTCCGCACGAGTATGTGGACCCGTCCAAACAGTGTGCTCATCGTGCCTTTTTCATGGGTTTGCAGAGGAGGCCAGGGGAGTTGGTTCAAGAATGTCAGCAGTTTGATATTCGTGGGACAGTTGACGAGTTTAGACACCAAGTAAACATGTATATGTATTAGAAACCAGGAATGGAAATGTTTGTGTCCCATGTTCGTAGAAAGCAGATTCCCCCTTGTATTCTATCAGATGGTTATAAACGAAACCAAACACCAAGGCTAATGAGTGGGCAGCTGGGAGAGAAGCCTGTCACTAGTATTTTTAGGTCAAGATCCAGAGAAAGAGGAGGTTTGGAAAGGAAAAGAGAGCTTGAATGTGTGGAAGAGAGTCACCAGAGTTTGGACAAAAGACCATCAATTAGCCCTCCAAGAAGGGAATCACCTTCGCCTGAACTTATTGTTGGTGAGAAAAGTGGCATGTTGTTACAACAGTGTTTCTCGACAGTTACTGGAGGGAAGAGAAAGAGTGAAGAAATTTCAAATAATGTGACGAATGATAAGATGCAGTTTGCTGTTCCTGATGAAGATGTTTATATTGAACAAAGGAAGTCACAAAGAGCACAATGTGTGGAAAGTGCAGATGGATGTGTATATCAGTCTGGTGGTGTCACAAACCTTGTTGAAGCTGGTACCTCTGGAGCTCCTGCGCATGAATTGCTCCGACTCGGCCATGATGGTTATGCAGCGGGCAGTACTGGTGGCAACTCTCTCCGTTCCTCTCAGGGTGACTTATACAGAGCAGAGTCCAAGTCTCTTTTGAATAATGTATGTGAAAATGGTTCAAGATTTTTAGAAGATGCGTTGCGGGAGTTAGAGGTTTTGAATCAGTCGATTTTGCCTCTTTTATCTTTCTGACGTCATTGATTTTTATAATTCATACTTCCATTTTTAGCTTTTGCCATAACTTTGACCAATTCTATTCTTTTTGTGTTTCATGAAGCCAAAAGCTGCTCGTGGAGTTTTAACATCTCCGGATAGCATTCGATCGGAGTCTGTACAAAAATCCTCTATAGGGCATGTTTCACGATTTGATACTTGCACTTACTTTTTGTTTTATATATCAGTCCTTTTGTCTTTAAAGGTGCTGTATTTTGGTTCTCTTTTATAGTCTTGTAGGTAAAGTGTTGCATCAACAGCTTGAAAGAAGTGGAGTCGCAGCATTGAGGGATGAAAAGCCAACGCAACATGGTAAGTATGATGTTACTTGTTGGCTGTCATTTCTCTATGTTTTTCTATTCCAGGCAGCTTGCATGTCAAACATTCAGAGGGAGAGTCCTGATATTTTGCGGAGAGTTGGACTCCTGTACAGTTCAGTTTATATATAAAAAGAAAAAAAACACTCGAAACACTGCTGAAACTCTCAATTGATCTTTAGTTCATGGAAAATCTCAATTGTAATCGGTTTATTGGAGAGTTTCAGTCTCTTAATTGTATTTGTATTCCGATGACAATTAATGACACACCATATTTCCCAATTTCCCTTTTCCTTTGTGCGTGTGAATTAGGGTCATTGGTACTTGATGTTTGTAATAACATCTCCTGTGAAATCCCAGAGTCTATGCTAGGCAGAATATATGCAAATTTTACTATCATCTTATCCTTGGTGGTAATTGATGTCTTTAGGATCATGAAAACTGCTTTTCATTAATTGCTCTTTTATTGTTTGTTAAATTAATAAAATAATTTTCGTTTCATATTAATGTGACTCTATCCAATTTTAGAAACTTGGACGGTTTATAGAATCTGAAACACTACTAAATCAATAGATTTATCAATCAAAGAATATAAGACTGAAATTTGAATTAATATATTTGGTTGATGGAACACGCAAAAATTGATGGTGCCTATGAAAGGTCACTGTAAATTGGTTCAGTGTATAATTTGTGTGTGGTCAAAGTAATAGAAACTCTTTTCTTTCTGGATTAAAGTGAGAATTACAACAATATACTAGTTGTTATAAATCTATTGAATTAAGTGGATTATTCATTAAGCTTATCATAAATTTATCCTTATCATGGATATATATTCTCAAGGTGATATGAACCTTTTTGGGATAGAAATGTATCTAGTAATGTGACATTAAATATGGTGACCTTTTGATTGATTTATCTACCTATAAATAGAGATATCACTCATCATTGTAATATATACTTAAATAAGAAAAAAGTCTTCTCCTACATCTACTTCTTTTGTCTTCTTCCTTCATATTTATATTATTCTGAGCTTAGATTTTATAACACGTTATCAGCACGAGTCTCTAGCCAATTGAGAGTGAGTTTTAATTTTTCTTTAACTCATGTTTTGGTTGATCTCATTATGAGAATCAAAGTATTATTTGCATAAAATCAGGTATGTATTTTCTAAAATATTTTATGATTTAGAATAAAATAGTATCCAGTCACTAACAATTATCAGGAACCAAAGGCATATACAACTATTGATTGAATATGACATGCTATACAAAACTTCTTAAATGGAAGAAAGTATATATAAAATTTTAATAGCATGAGTTTGAATATTATTTTGATTGTTTTGAAAGACTCAAAGGATCATATTATACTTAGCTCTATTATACCGTTGGTTAAGTGCAAGACGATGGATTCAAGTTTCATCGCACCAAAAGGGTAAGACATCAGGTTAAAGTCCGGATGCACCATAATGAAAAAATGTTTGAGGGTAAGATTCATGTTCTATCGCATCAAGAGGGTAAGACATCAATTTGAGTTTTAATGCACCATAATTGGGTTCAAGTCCCATAGAATTATGGCGTAACACGTCTTATATGGGTAAGACATTGAGTTTGAGTCAATGCACCATAGTGATGATAAAATGATGACTAAGACAAAAAATAATATATTTTTAATGAAAATTCTTAAAATTCATCTCATGAATTTGCTCCATTCCCTAAAATGAATGTGGTAGCAGTATATGATAAGTTTGAAATTTGCCCACCTGCTCCATTCTATCATACGAATGTGGTTGCAGTGAATAATAAGTCTGAAAGATGACAAGTGATTGAATGTATGAATAAGGGCGTGGATGAACGAAATTATAAATCATCAATATGACTAAATGAAGAACACTATGGGTTCTCCAAAGAGTCCTTCAAAATTTGTAGGTAATTTTTATTATCAAAATGGTATAAAAGGTCATTGGGCTTGCGATCTTGTCGACCCAATATTTGATAAGTTTTATAAATCCTCGATCAAAATAAAAGTATATAAAGTGGTGGTGCACTTTTTCTTTCAAAGTGATGTTGAGGTGTGTCATGGAAATATGATGAATTTTAAAGCCATGATAATGTGTTAATAATGCAAATTTATGAAGTACATAAAATGATTAGTCCATTCCTTGAAGAGAATGTGACTTGTGATGAGTATCGTGAATGCTCGACCATTCTATAAGAGAATGGGTCAAGATGTGATAAAATCATTATGGGTTGGATATATGCCACAACTCACCTCGATGGAAGGTTTGAGAAAAAATGATATATGTCACATCTCATCTCTACGGAAAGTTTGAGAGAAATAAATAAATTTTATTTGTCATGAATGGTCAATGGTCGTGTGCGTTTATATGTCATGGATATTATGGTATGTTTGTTATGAACTACCGAAAGGGTAAAAAGAAAGAAGTAATTCTTGTCTATAAAGGTTATAGTCATGATCAAATATACTGTGTGACAATACAAATTTGTCATTGATTATGTACCTATGGTACAACAAAAGAAAGCAAGAAACATGTCTTGATTGTAATAATTTTTTACCATGACAATAACAATATAGTTTTCTCCTTAAAGAAGATGTTCATCATTTGGATGGCATCATGAAATATGTGATAGTTCTAACGAGTTGTGATATTGCCAGAGGAATAATATTGGGTACGGTTGTAATAAGTCTCAAAAGAAACTTTTTAAGTTTCGAATGAATTGAAAAAAATATTGAGACTATGAATTATGAAAAGGTCAGGATCTGAATTTGTTATTATATATGGATAAATCACATTCATTGAGTACCCCAATGATTATGAGATCGTTTGAAATAAATGATGATTCATTTTGATCTCAAGAGAAGGACGAAGAGCTTCTTTCTTTTTTTTCAAAGGTTCCCTCAAGGGGATTCAATAGATAAGTCAAAGGAGCATGGAGGGGGTGAAACCTGACCTCCGCATTACAACACTAGGAGTGAGGGACATCCTTACTCTCTAACTTATCAAAATAAAAGGAAAGAAAAAAAGGAGGAGGGTTGCTCCTTGTTACATAAGCTTACAAAAAAATCTAGAATTCATAAACTAGAAGCAACCAAACAAAATTTAACCAGGGTCGAATATGAAGTTTCCCTTCTTCACTCGAATTCTAATGTTGGGCTTGCCAACTACATCATTGTTCAAGGTGGAAGTAACCTTAGAAGGAAGATTTATGGCCTCGGTGAAGAAGGTAGTTGTTTTGCAATGTTCAGCCATATTAGCGAGCAAATCAGCTGTAGTATTACCTTCTCTGAAGGTGTGAATGAAAGAGAAGTCACCAAGTGAACTCATGGATTGAATTTGCTTAATATCATCTTTCATATGCCAAGGGGAATCGATCATACCTTTAACCATCTGAATAATCAATAGGGAGTCAGATTCAACAGCAACCCTGTGAAAATCATGATCTAGACACCATCTTAGGCCAGTCTTTAGAGCTAGTGCCTCAGCTGAATTATTTGAGCAAAAACCAAAATAGGCACTGAAAGCCATAATCATTTGTCCAGCATGATCCCTAAGTACTCCTCCACCTCCAGCACTTCCAGGATTTCCTTTACTACAACCATCCACATTCAATTTTAGCTCATTGTAGTTTGGTCTCTTCCATTTCACCAATTTAATTTCAAGCTTTGGTGTGATGTGATCTATGAGATGATAGATACTGATAATAGAAGGTGAAAGTGGAAGTTCTGGAAATTGAGAATTAATAATCAAATAGAGGAGGTTGGAGATTTGATCAATGATTCTAGGAATAGGAATTCTAACACCTTCATGTTTGAAATTGCACCTATACTTCCAAGTTTCCCAGCAAATAAGAGATGGCAGACTCTGGAGAAGGAGTTCATGAACTTTGTTGACAGGTTTGATCAACCACCATCTCATAATCTTCGCCCTGACATTCTCATTAGAGTTGTGAAGGATTCCACAAGTATTAGAGAAATATTTCCAAAGAATACATGCAATGTTTCCATCTCCAAACAAATGATTTATAGTTTCATTGGCTCCCTCTGTACAACAATAGCATTTTGAGGGTCCATGAACCTTAAATCTGCAAAGTGCTTCATCGGTTGCTAATTTACCTCCGAGTAACCCAAGCATGAAGAATGAGACTTTGAAAGAAATTTTGTTGTGCCACATCTTTCTGCTTGTTAAAAAACGAGCCCTGGACTTCCTGATATTTTGCCACGCAGACTTGCTAGAGAATAAGCCTGACTGGTCAGGGAGCCAAATAGGATAATCAACACTTTGAAGATCAAACTTGATATCCTGAACCTCAGAGACTATATTAGCAGGCAAAACAGAATTCAGCTTTGACAAGTTCCGTTGGTTTTGATTAATGAAATCCGACACTTTGATCTTCATAGGTTTATTTCCTTGTTGGACGATATTAGACAAGGCTCTTTTGTTGGTCCAATTATCATACCAAAATGATAAGTTGCCCTTTCCAAGTTTCAAAAATATATGTTGCTCAGCTTCATTCTTGACATCCATTAGCCTTCTCCAGTGATGTGACTGCGTATAACTTTTTTTTCTTGCAATGGGATGATATCTTTTACAATACTTTGCCTGCAAAAAATTTTTCAAAATAGAATTAGAAGTTCTAAAAGTCCACCAAGCTTTGACAGAAAAAGAGATACAAGTATCATGAAGAGACCTGAATCCCACTCCACTTTCATTTTTGGGGTAACAAAGATTTTGCCATTTAATCCAATGATAACTATTCTTATCATTAGAGCTACCCCAAAAGAAATTAGCAAAAGCTTTTTCAATAAGATCAAGAGTGGTTTTAGGAGGATAAACATCAGAAATGATATGCAAGGGAAGGGAATGAAGAACAAATTTAATAAGGACAACCCTTCCTCCAAAAGATAGCATTTTACCCTGCCACCCATGAATTCTTTTAATAATTTTGGCAACCATATTACCGAAGTATTCGATCTTTTTTCTCCCCGAAAAGATAGGACAACCAAGATAAGTAAAGGGAAAATGGGAATGAGAGTAACCAGTCATGAGTCTAATATCATCAATGATTCCCTGAGGAGTATTAGAAGAAACCAAAAAAGAAGATTTTCTTTTATTAACAAGTTGACCCGAAACTAATTCATAGAGCTCAAGCTTCTTCATCATCATCGAAATGGAAAGTATATCACCAGATGAGAAGAGGATGGTATCATCCGCATACTAAGATGTGTTATCATTGGAGATCCTATATCTGCAGAAAAAGGAATGAAGTTATCTAT